TTTGCGTAGCCCCCGGAGCTGCTGAAACCACGTGTGGCCCAGGCGCGGTGCCATCCTGCCTGTGAGCTCAGACGTGACCTGAGCCTGGGTCCCACGCCCAGGTCCACGGGTCACAGAAGCCAGCCTGCAGCAGAGCCGGGCCGGGCGGCCGTCCCTCCGGAGGAAGGGCACTTGTGTCCGCACAGGAGGACAGGAGAGCCGCTGTACGGCTCCAGGGTTGACAAGAAAATGGCAGCTGCTGGAATAAAACCTAGCCCCTCCATAACAGTGCAAGCTGCCCAGCCACCGAAGGAGCCTCCTCCAGCGTCGAGCGCCGGCGCAGGGGTCCAAACCTGAGGGGCGCCGGGACGGGGACACGATACCCAAGAGTTCACCAGCACAGCTTTCCCTGCCCTCATCAAAGCGCCTAATTGCCACAGACCCGTCCAGCCTGAGGCCGACGCCGGGGCTGCGGGGGGAAGCCCGAGGGCGCCAGCGGGAGGACGCGGCCCGCGCTCCGCGAGCACCGATGGCCTGGAGTCCGGCCAGCCGCGCTGAGCGCTCAGCGTCCTCCCCTCCAGCAGGGGCTCGCCGTCGGCACACCGGCCCAGCGGGGCCACCCACCCAGGATGAAGGCAGAGCAAGGCCTCTGCAGGGGCCCCTCCACACAGGGCGACATCACTTTGAGGCTTATTTTCTACTTTTAGGAGCTTAAAAAGTTTTATGTAGGTAGCTACGTACATCCCTCTTTTACCTTACGATTAATTTATCAGCTTTTACAGTTAGCTTTTCTGCATTCTGAGGTCCGATACTCATCTGCATTTTTAAACTTTTTTTTAACGTGTACCTGCGTGTATTTAACTTTTCACCCTCGGATTCAGCTACAATTTATTTGGCGTATATTTTGATAAGGAACCCGACCCAAATCAGTAACCGTGACCCAGCTCTGTAAAAGCAAACGTCCCCTTATCTAGCGCGCTGGCCGGTCCGGGAGCTGCCTCCCCGGCGCATCACGCCCGGAGGTGGGGCCGCGCGCGCGGAGGGCTCGCCGGGCGCATCTGAACGTCAGGGACTCACTCAGCCCGGGCTAGTGACGAC